AAACCCCCCCCCCCCCCCCCCCCCCCGCGATATCCGGCCTGTGTGACCGGGGCCAAAGGCGTTTTCAGTCTCACTTTCTTCTACATAGGATTTGTAATGTCCAAAATGAACAGCAAGTTGAATGGAGACCAAAAGGAAGCCTATGAGGAGAACTCACTCCCTGTAAGGGAGGAGACCCAGTGGCAAAGGACATGCTTTGAGTGCTATAAGGCCTAGATTCAACCCCCAATTAAAGGACCTCTGGTAGCAGGTGTGGGAAAGATCTCAAGATCTGCTTGAAACCAGGGAGAACTTTTGCCATGCAGAGCAGACAACCCAGAAGAAGACGGAAAAGGAGAAGGGGACTGTATTTATACCCCGCTCTTCACTACCTGAAGGAGTCTTAGAGCAGCTTACAATCTCTTTCCTCCCCACTGCAGAAACCCTGTGAGGTAGGTGGGGCTGAGAGAGCTTTTCGAGAACTGCCCTTGAGTGAACAGCTTTGAGAGAACTTGTAACTGACCCAAGGTCATACCAGCAGCTGCATGTGGAGGAGTGGGGAATCAAACTGGTTCTCCCAGATTAGAGTCCGCTCACTCAACCACTACACCAAACTGGCTCTGAGCTAGACAGACCATCACCTGAGCATAAGACAGCTTGGTACATATGAAGAGACAGTCCGGTCGGAGTGGTCTAGGACCTGGGAGATCCAGGTTCAATTCCCCACTCTTCATGAAACCCACTGGGTGACCATGGGCAGGTCACTCTCCGGCCCAAACTACACGTTATAGTTTACATGAGTTCCTGATAGGAACTTGCAAACCATATTGCAGGTGCAAGTCCCTGGTGGCCACTCCATGTAAAAGTGTCACAGGGGCCTGATTTGGATCAGGACCAATGCTCCCTCTAAGCTGTGGAGTCTTGTGAGCAGAAATTCTACTTTGTGAGCTACTGGCATTAAAGTTGTGAGCGAGCGATTTGGCTACTGCATAAGTTAGTTTGCTCTGGAGCCATCCTTCCTGAGCGAAGGCAAAAAGGTGTGAGCCGGAGGCTTAAAAACCGTGAGCTAGCTCACACTAACTCAGCTTAGAGGGAACACTGATCAGGACCATGGTGGTGGTGGGCTCCTGCCTTTCCCCCCTGCACCATTTCCCCAACTGGTAGAGGCCGGGGGTGGGGGAGATAACGCCCCCAGGACTGCATGTACCGCCCCCCAAAAACAGGGCAAATAATCCCCCCCCCCCAAGGCCCTTTAGGGTCAGGAAAAGAGAGCAGGAGGAGGCAGGAGCCCCCTCCCCCCAGACCCAATCTGAATCAAGCGCCGTGTGCTTTTACACAGAGTTGCCACCAGGAACTCTCAGCTGCAGTGTGGTTGAAAGTCCGCATGTAAAACACAGCATGTAGTTCGGCCTTCAGCCTGCCCTACCTCATAGGAAGGGACTATGAGGGTATCTTCACTGTCTTGAACTCTCAGGAGGAAGGGTGGGGGTAAAGACTCTCCATCTCTCTCTTTCAAGGTTGGGGAGGGGGAAAATATGCTCAGCTCAGCTTCCCTTCCCTGTGTGCTTTTCGAGGGAAATGCAGATACACGCCACACCACACCACACCTGAAACATAAATGGGCACTGAATGGTTGCCAACCTCCAGGTGTGACCTGGAGACCTCCCAAAATAACAACGGATCTCCAGACCACAGAGATCTGTTCCCCTGGAGAAAATGGTATTCTTTGGACTCTGTGGCATTGTACCCCTGCTGAGTTCCCTCTGCTCCCCAAACCCCACCCTCCCCAGGTTCCACCCCCCCCCATCTCCAGGCATTTCTCCACCCAGGGCTGGCAACCTTAGCAGGGAGGCACATCAATGGGCCAAGGAGGCTACCACTCTGGTGTCTCATTTGGGCTTATGTGCTTCACAATGCTGGTCTCAATAACCCCCTAAAAGTAAAGGTTCCCTTGCTCGAAAGCCAGTCGAGTCCGACTCTAGGGTTGCGGTGCTCATCTCCGTTTCAAAGCCGAAGAGCCAGCGCTGTCTGAAGATGTTTCCGTGGTCATGTGGCCGGCATGACTAAACACAAAGGCGCACGGAACGCTGTTACCTTCCCACCGAAGTGGTACCTAGTTATCTACTTGCAATTTCTTGCTTTCGAACTGCTAGGTTGGCAGGAGCTGGAACTAGAGTCGGGAGCTCACTCCGTCATGCGGCACACTCGGGTCTCGAACTGCTGTCTACTTGCCTTTCTGAAGCTAGCACTCTCTGCTCAAACTGCTGAACTACTGACCTTTCACAGCCTGCAGTTCAGCATCTTAACCACTTGAGCCACCACAGCTCCTCAATAACCCCTACACACCTTTAAAACTGAGCAGGCTGAAACTTAATCCTGACAAGACTGAGGTCCTCTGGGTTGGCAGAAAGGCAGACATGGGACTTGAGATCTCTCCTGCCTTTGGATAAGGTTATACTCCCCTTGAAAAGCCAGGTTTGTAGCTTGGGAGAGCTACTTAACCCTGTAGTCACCTTAGAAAACCAGATGACTGTGGTGATTTGGACTGCTTTTGCCCAGCTGCAGCTGGTGCATCCACTGCATCCATTCCTGGGTCAGTCTGATCTAGCCACAGTGATCTATCTCTTTCTTACATCATACATGCGATGCACTCTACTTGGGGCTATCCTTGAAGAGTGTTCAGGGGCTGCAGCTAGACTGTTGGTTGGGGCCAGCTATTGGGAGCAGGTGACCCCAATATTACAGCAATTACAGTGGCTACTGATCCACTCCTGAGCAATGTTCCCTCTAAGCTGTTGAATCTTGTGAGCAAAAATTCTACTTTGTGAGCTCCTGGCATTAAAGTTGTGAGCGAGCAATTTGGCTACTGCATAAACTAGTTTGCTCTGGAGCCCTCCTTCCTGAGCTAAAACAAAAATTTTAATATTTAATATTTCAGAGGCAGCTGAAGACAGTTTTATTTAGGACTACATTTGGTTGCATTTAGTAGCAGTCCTGGGTAGTGAATTTAAATTTTGGTGTTATGATTTTAATGTATTTTATTTGATGCATTTTACCTATGCTTGCGAGCCACCTTGAGCTCTGTAAGAAAGATGGCTAACAGATGTTTTAAACAAGACAGTACACCAACATCGGTAAAAGAGTTGACTAGGAGATCTCCCAGCTTCAGATTCATTCCACAACGGCTTATACTGCTGTAGCTCTTGAAAAGCGTGTAGTAGTTCAAGGACTGGGTGTGTGGGTGTGTGTGCACTGTAGAGAATCTAAGAGACACTGCTCTTGCCCAAAGAGACTTAAATCTGCTCCTCTTATTCACTTAATACAGATCAAGGGGGGGAGGGGCTGCTCCTTCTCCCCCCCCCACCGCACAAGGTAGGATGCCACAAATCATTTCTAACAAGCGACAGTTGCTGACCTGGAAGGTTCTTCCTTGAATCTGAAATCCCCACCGACCGTGTGTGTGGGAGAGTTGACTGTGGTTAGTCCACGTTAAGAGGAAGGCATTCTGCAGGTATGATATATGAAGAAATTATACTTAAATCTGTGACGAAGCACGAATCAGATGGCAATTACCCCGGATCCTCTATAGAAGGATCTTCTGCCTGTGCTCCGGTTGCCTCAACTGTGTTCTCGTCCCGCCCTTTTCTCCCCCGCCTATAGTGAGATGATATAGCTTTTCACCGATTCATAATCTGCCACGAAGAAGACGGATTTTAAAAGGGTTGTGTGTGTGTGTGAAGCAAGAGGATAACTCGCAAAGCACCTTCTTCGGTCTCTTTTAAAAGGCCGGCAGTTAAACGGTTAACGGGAGGAGTGGATTCAGCGGAGGATACGGCTAGTTTTCACTCTGGTCCGCAACACAGCGGCGCTCCCTGATGAAAGAGTTTTCCTCATTCCCGTTTATAACACAGACCTGACCTGGGTGGTAGAAGCCGCCGAGATCCCGAAGAAGCGAACAGACAGTGTCTGATAACCCAGGAAGATCAACCCTGTTTTGGAGTCAAGAAGAAGGGGAGAAAAAAGAGAAGGGAGCAATTTTCTTCTCTTTCCTCCTCGACCAGAGCCCTCTAGTGGGGGAACTGCAAGGAAAATTGCGACTTCCTTTTCTGTGATTTTCTGTCTAGACTGTTGAAACTCGGAATATTTTAAATACTGTTTTAAATGGACCCAGCTGGACCTCATACCGAGTGTGAGGCACCCCAGGAACACAGCCGCTTACTTTCGGGAGAAAACGGAGACTGCCACCTGTTGAGCCGAAGAAGCTGCTAGCTTTACTTTGAGCCCCAAGAGGTGGAGTTTTATAGATTAGAGGGGACAGAGCCAACTGTGAGAGCTCTGAAGCCAAGCAGAGCCCCATTGATTCTGCTGCCCTTTGAGATTGTGCTACTCCCCAGAGAGCCTGAGAAGGTGAAGACTCTTGAAATTTCAGATCCAATAGCAAATCAGTGGACGCTTGCCTTTCTGAGGCAAGCCCATGTCATTCTATTCAGATGGTAATTGCAGGAATTCTCCTGACAACTTGCTATAGGGAGGGCAGAGTTTGGAGAATGGAGGGATCGCAGCAGCTACGCGATCCCATAGAGTCCACCCTCCAGAGCTGCCATTTCCTCCAGGGGCACTGACCTCTGTCCTCTGCAGACTGGTTGTGATTTCAGAAAAACTTCAGGTCTCAACTGGAGATTGGCAACCCCAGTATGCAGAAAACATGACTTTGTTAATTTATGAAGAGGGGAAAAAATGACCCAACAGGGACAGGCAGAAACAGACAAATAAAAGCGGGGGGGGGGGGGGGGGGGGATTCAACCCAGAACAGACCAGGTATCCAAAAATGCTGGGGGAAACAGAGGGAACATGTATATGGAACTATTACTGCAAATTACAAAAAAAGCTAGTTATATTTCAGAAACTTTAATCAAATTATAAATATTAAAACCTCTGCATCAAAATACAATCTTGATGCATTTGGTTTCCTGTAGGTGGCCATACATACTATTGGCCAATGCTGACTTGGCTTATAGAGAAATTTATACCAGTAACATCAACTATCCGTTAGATAAACATGCCATAGTTTATTATGCCAGCAAGAAGAACAAATCAGTCAATCCTCAAAGAAATCAACCCTGACTGCTCCCTGGAAGGCCAGATAATGAAACTGAAGCTCAAATACTTTGGCCACCAAATGAGAAGGGAGCACTCACTGGAGAAGACCCTGATGCTGGGAAAGACTGAAGGTCAAAGAAGACGAGGACGGCAAAGGATGAGATGGTTGGACCGTGTCATCGATGCAACGAACATGAAACTGAGCAAACTTCAGAGGACAGCAGAAGACAGGAGAGCCTGGCGGGATCTAGTCCATGGGGGCGCGAAGAGTCGGACTCGACTGTGCGACTGAACAACAACAAATGCAAGGACAGTGTAAGATCAGATTTCCAATACGTTGCTACTACAGCTTTTGCAGCGTATAGCAATATAGCTGTTCTTATATTATTTAATGTATGTGTTCTCACTTCATTCAACTTCAGGCTTAAAAGGAATAGGACTTGTGTGATGTTACTAACTGATTCTGAAATTCTTTCCCAGAAAGCATATATCTTTGAACTATACATCGAACAATGAAGATAGGTACCTTTTTCAGAACAACCTCTCCAGCAATTTGGATTTAAATTCTTTATATAAGCCATTCGAGCCGGGGTAAGATACCAAAAAGATAAAAGTTTAAACGATTGCAGTCTAATTGATATGATAGAAGTAGTATTTTCATATGAGTTCCATATACGCTCCGAAGTTTTTGTATCAATTTGATCTGTTGTTAATTTCCATCTTGCCTGATATGTCAAAGGCGTGTTTTCTTTAATTTGCGCTAGAATATGAATGATTTTGGATAGAATTCCTATCTTGTTTTGATCTGTCATGTTAATTCATTGTCCAACTTTTACACCAATGCATGGTAATGGGGAATTCTGTGGCATGAATTAACTTGATCCTGGTTGCCAGAAACACATCCTTACACTTAAGTATCCTTTGTAGTTCTTTCATGGCTGCCCTTTCCAGTCCCAATCTCCTGATTTCTTGGTTGTAGTCTCCATCATTACTGTACATTGAAACCTGCCTTGAGTACATGGCCAGAAAAGCAGGTTACAGACATAATAAATATATAAATCTGAATAGACAAGTTAAACATACACTGAAATATCTCCCATTACAAATCAGCTGGACTGCAAGCGGCTTAGTTTGGGCTAGACTGCCCCTTTGGCGCCCTCTGCTTCTGTCTTTGCCCTTTGTCCTCTAGCTGTTGTCCAGCCTCCTGAACATCCATCATGGCTCAACTGCTCAGCTGGAGCAAACAGGTCTCTGTGACGCAATTGGTTAGCACGTCCGGCTGTTAACTGGAAGGATGGTGGTTCGAGCCCACCCAGGGATGTCCGCGCCTTTGATGAGGTGGCCGAGTGGTGAAGGAGATGGACTGCTAATCCATTGTGCTCTGCACGCGTGGGTTCGAATCCAACCCTCGGGCCCTTTTGCCATAACCTGGGAAGAGAGATGTAGCTCTCAGCCCACTTCCTGAGTTTGCAGCGGTTTCCAAAGAGGAGGCGGAGATGCACCAGCCGGAACATGACCCCAAGCTGTGAGAGTGGCAACCTTGGATGATGCCCATGCACCACTGCCACAGGTGCTGAGGGATTCTTCCCTGTAGCTCCTTTTTCTTGGAAATGGTCTTTCAAATATTACTTCAGGTAGGCAGCAGAGAGAGAGAGAGAGAGAGAACAAGGAGACTGCAGGCTCCTGTCTGCCAGGGGGAAGGAGGGCATGGGGCACCTTGATTGGCTATGGGGTGGGGGGGTCCTGTGTGTGGCATCTGGCTGGTGCTGACCCACAACAGAAGGCTGTAAGTTCTGTCCCTGTTACAGACTGTTTTGTTTTTTTCCTACGTATATCCCAAAGTTTGCCCTGGATCTTCCAGACAGGGGTTGGCTCGTGGTGGAGGTAAATAGGTTCTATATAAGCAGAACAGAGTCTGTCTGTGTCCTTCTCCCCAAACACTAAGGTGATCTCCCTGTTCCAGAACTCCTGGAGCATATTCTTATTGGGCCATTTTTTTCCTGTTTTCATGAATTAAAACAAATGTTTTCTGCAGAGTGAGGGAGCCCCCCATGGTGCAGATGACCCAGGGGCCAGCCACTCCACCAGTCCATAGAAGCAGATGGTCCCTGAGTTGGCCTTTTTTCCTCTTCCATCTCCTTCCCAGTCTTTTGCACCATGATTGGAAGTCATTGTTTTGTTCTGAAAACTGCCATCAGTGCACTGACAGAAAAGCAGCATACAGCTATAATAATTAAATAAATTGCAATTGGTGGGTTAAAATCTCCCAGTAAAGTGGGATTTAAATGGGTTTAGTTTGGGATGGATTTGTCCCTTTGGCACCTTCTAATTGACCAGTCTTGTCCCTTTGTCTCCCATGCACAGCCTCCTGAAAATGCTCAGCCTCTCTCCAGCAGGCAGGTCTCTGTGGTGCAATTGGTTAGCGCATCCGGCTGTTAACCAGAAGGATGGTGGTTCGAGCCCACCCGGGGACGTCTATGGACTGGCCATACCCTTGATGGGGTAGCTGAGTGGTGAAGGCAGTGGACTGTTAATCCATTTTGCACACGTGGGTTTGAATCCCACTCTTATCAGCCTCTTTTGCCGTATGGTTCTGTGGAGAAATGCATTTTTATTTGAAGGTTTGGACTGAGCAAAACTTTCATCTTTAGTTTCTAAAAGCTTTTCTCTCTCTTGGCAGGGAACAGGCAGGATGAGGGAAGTCAATTCCGTTGCTCTCAAGCCTCACCTCTGCCACCCTTTAGAGATGCTATGGATCCCTGCTAGGAGACAATGGAATAGACAAACTCCCTTTTCCTGGTGGAGTCCTCCACCAGCTAGAAAGGGAGCAGAGTTTGGGAGGCTGAAAATCCTAGATAAGTCTTTTCCTGGAGACTTCAGGAAGAGCTTCTTACTGATGAAACTCATTGGCACAGAGAGGTGGGTCGCTTTATGGCTGATTCCATCTAGGCAGAAGGAGGTGTCACACCTGGGTGCCTGCTGAAGGCAGTCATTGCTATGTGGAGGACTGCAGGACTGAGAAGAGGCTCCACGGTAATGGGAACCTTTTAGAATCGCTGTAATTGCTAAGCTAAGGAGCCTGCTTTAGAATAACATCAGACCGAAAAAAGAAGAAACTGTGAGGTAACTGCGCTAGAGAATATTTAAATAACGATCATAAAATTTATACAAAAATGTGTACAAAATTTACATATATAAATGCACAAAGGCAGTTGAAAGTGATGTAATTGACGATGATCTCCGGAATGTTCTATCATTTCATTACTATTCTTCTTCCGAATGTGGATGAAAGCCTTAATAAATCATATGCAATAACAATATTATGTGAAGAGTCTCTGGTACATGTACATACAAAAATTCAATAAAAAGGTTTTTTTCAAACCTTACATGCAGCGACTCTTGGTCTGTTATTTCAACAGGTACGTATCAACAATTTCAATAATTTTCACCGATGTATCTATGAAATGTAACAATAAAATGTAACACATCATCATCTGTGCAAAAATAACCACAATTAATTTATACAAACGCTATAATTTTTTTTTTTTTAACATTTATATACACAAACATTTCATCTGTTCCAGTTACATATAGTTCAGAGTCATTCATCTTTTACTTTTTCTTTACAGGTTGGGATTATTAATTTTCTGTCAAATTTTCTATCCACATATATACTTTTTCCCATCTCTTTTCGTGTACCTTTTCATTTTTATTTTGTATCATTAGACTTAAGTTATCCATTCTAGCTAGTTCCAATTGTATGCTACCGCTCTCATATATTTAACTGACTTCCATATACCAGCCCATTTATCTTCCTCTAATTCTTTTCCTATGTCTTTCATCCAGGTGATCATTACAGATTTAATTTC